GTATAAGCCAAGAGAAAACCCCAATCCTCCCAGCCACGGCTGCTCCCCGCCCCGCGCAGGGGGAAGCCCGGGGTCCAGAGAGCGGTGAGCAAGCACCCCTCACGCCCCCTCCTCAACCACCGCTACCTGCGGGTCTGAAGTCTTTCAAACGCCAGTGCGTGGCCGGGCGATAGACTAAAGGTCGGTTCCTCAGCTCGCGCCGGCCCAGATGCCGGGACCAAACCGTGCTGCCCGCGCCGGCCTCGAAACCTACCTCGGATTTCAAACACGGCATTTGAAGTGTTTCCCCGCAGCGGGCGCAAGGGAGAACTTCAGCTCGGCACCTCGCAGCGCGTACAAAACATTTCCCCTCGGTCAATAACCGCTGCTCTCTCAAGCAGATCCTCCAGGTGCAGAATTCACCCCCCGAACTGTTCTGCACGGAAAAATCAAAGCGTAAAGTATTTGGGTCACGCAGGAGAGAGCCAGATCCCGACAGCCAGCCTTCCGCGGGGCACGGCCAGCACTCCAGCCACGGGCTAGTCAGAACAGATCTTCTCTGCTGGGCCCAAACACACGCTGTTGTCCTTCCCACACTGCAGCCTGCAAAGACTGGCAGCAAAGCATTCCCGCTGCTATGAAATCCCTGTAATTAATAAGTAATTGAACTTCACCAACTCAGCATTAAGTACAAATGCGTAAGGATCAGGAGGCATCGCACAGCACGGGCAGAACCAGCCCCAAGAACCGCAAGACGAAGGGGAACAGGCGAAGAGAAACACACCCCGACGGGCTGAGGCTACCGAGAGCCGTCGCAGAGATTTAACCGCTGTCAGTCCGCAAACACCGGCTCAAAGTTTAAGGGTTTTCGGGGAGGGAAGGTCGGTTTCAACACAGCTGAGCCATTCCCACGGAAAGATGCTTTCAGGCTGGCGTTACAATCCTTGCTGTTGAGAAACAGCTACCGCACGGCGCTGGACAACGCGAGGCCCCAGGGACCGAGAGGAAGAAAACTCCCAGCTGCCAGTCCAGTCCCCGCGCGTGCACTTCCACCTCCGCTGCCTCCCGCAGAGCCGCAGGGCCGCGGGGGGGAGGCAGGCAGGGCACCAACACCCGG